ATCTTGGAGTGGTGCAAAGTGCAAATGCTTTACAAATCCATAAAAAGGCTTACAATGATAATAGATTGTAAATATAAGTAGACATAAGTAAAATGCAAATAAGCGCATGCGAAGATAATAAGAAAACTGCGAAAGAAATTACATGTTGAAAAATGGAGAGTTTCAAGGCATTGCAACGACTAAAACAAGGGACTGCACTATCAGTGCTGCCGCTTCGCACTTGCAATTGGAGGAAGTCTTATCGAAAGCGAGCGAGCATATAAATAAACTCACGAACTCAAGCGTTTATGTCTAGCATATGAGACGCTTACTTGAAAGAACCTTTGCCCACATCTTGTAATGCAGTTTAAATATTTAATTAAATAAATTTCAGTTTACTTTAGTGTTATCTAACAGGCGGCCTACAATTTATCGACAGGAACTTTCTGTACAAAGGGTGGTTCATTTAGTGCTTTTTATATGAATAATGTAAGCCTTTCCGGTTCAAATTTTCGAATACGAAAACTCGTACGAGCTTTTTGATAAGTCAATGCATTTTGAGGAGTGATTCCGTTGTATTGCCGGAAAGAAAAGACATGCACTTAGAACTATCTTTAATTTCAAGAGGAATCGATTTTCCTAATATAAATTTCTGTTATTCATTTAGCAGCCATTTGAGTGTCGTGAATTGCCAACTGCAAGGCATCAGATAGAGCCGGGAAAATATTTAAAACTCGTAGTCGGAAGGGCAAAGACCAGATTTGTTTCAAGAGATTCTCACTTCAGACAATAGAACCCATGCAACTATGGACAATCGTCTCAGTGACGTCAGCCATGCAAAAAGAAATTATAGTGTGAAACCGTTTTTTATGGACTCTATTATTATTGCAATCTTTCTGCGAATATCATGCAATGTATTTAATTAGATATAAAGAGTTAGAAACGAAGTTAAAACTTGTCGACGGAAATAAAAACAAGAAAAAACGGAGATTGTACCGCTGCTTTGGACATACTTACATGCCAAAAATAGTTCGTCAAATACAAAAGTTTTCTGATCGTTCAGTTTGTATAGCAATTAATGCTATAGTGATCCGATATCAAGGGTTCCGACAAATGAGCAACTTCTTTAGGAGGATAGGACGTGTGCGAAATTTCAGATCGATATCTCAAAAACTGAAGGAATAACCCGCGTATATACAGACAGACGGACATAGCTAAATCGAATAATCTCATCGCACTAATAATTTAGATATGTATATATTTTGTAGAGTAACTGACGTTTCATTCTGAGTGTTACAAGCATCGGGGAAAACTTAATACCTGTTCATGGTATAAAAATGAGTTGTAAATAACGGTTTATATTGTTTAAGAAACAATTATTTTATGTATACATTCACACGTACTTTCTACATTTATATAGTAAAATAAAAAATACTTTAGTGAAACTATGCTGAAAGAAATTCAAAATTTTCCCAAAAAGTTTCGAAGCAGACTAGACTCCGTTATCAGGGCCTTACAGTTGGAAACAAAAGCATTTCAATTTTTAATCTTAATGGCTTATGCAGCAGCATACACTGAGATATATAATAGTATTTACATACATTAATATTTATAATACAATATAATTTACATTATCGGCGCTTTCATATTAACTACAAACCCATATACATGAGACCTACATACAAGTATTGTAGGTATATATGTACTCATATTTATAGTTAATGTTGATAAAAGAATGAGCGCTTATCAGGCAGTTCCGACAGCGATTTTTATACGCTTGCCACATGTTGCTACAGAGTATAATAGTTTTGTTCACCTAACGGTTGTTTGTATCACGTAAAACTAATCGAGATAGATATGGGTTATACATATATACATAAATAAATTATCAGGATGAAGAGACGAGTTGAAATCCGAGTGAGTGTCTGTCTGTCCGTCCATTTGTGCAAGCGAGAACTTGAATACAAATTAAGATATATTAATGAAACTTGGTATACGTATTCCTTCTACGCCCACAAAACCACATTAATCGAAAACCTATAAATTGCCATAACCAAGCCGCAAATTAAGGTACAAAACGGTATTTTAATACAGCGAATTGCATCAATGAGGGGCGCCTATGGTTTGAATTTTTTTTTAAATGGGTGTGGCCCCGCCCCCTTATAGGTTTAATGTATTTACATATCTCCCAAACTAATCACCCAAATTTGCAGAGGGCATATAATTTCGGTACCTCTTGCGACAGCATGAAAATAGGTTAAATTGGATGATAACCACGCCTACTCCCCATATAACGGTTATGTTAAAAACTACTTAAGCTGCGATAACTCAATGAGACAAAAGGGCTTTATAGGAGCAGGTGTCAAAATTTCATAATTTGCGTGTCACCGCCCATAATATTTCCACCAAATTTGGTAAATTATATTATTTTTCCATTCCCATGTTACAGTGCGAAAATGGGCGAAATCGGACATCAACCACGCTTACTTCCTAGATTTTGTGAAATTTTCAATGGAATATTTAAAACTCGGTCATTGACAGCACAACTTCTGTCAGGTTGACGATCGGTTCATCAGTTCGTGAAAAATCTTGACAACCGACTTTGAGAACACAGGGAAAAACGGATGTAAAATTTTAAGTGAATAAATAGCTGGCCTCTATCGCGCAACTTTTCAAAGCTGTACAATATTCTTGAGATGGAATAGAATTAAATAAAACAATACATTTTTTTTTTGTTTTTTAAAGCCGTGAAACCCATGTAACCCCTTAAGGTATGCCATCTTAGGTCTAAAAATAGTCGAAATCGGACCATAATTACCATATTCAAGCACCCAGATACCGCAGATGTGGACATTAAGCCCTAAAGCTAACTTTTTGCGGAAAATATCAATCAATATGTGATATATATAATGGAAATTCGAGGAAAATGCTTTTTTGCTAATAAGATACCCTTCTGTCAAAAATGGGTTGAATCGGATCAATACTTCCCTTAGCCCTCATATACATAATATAGAGTTTTGAACTTCCAGTTGACTTTATACCACATATATCAGCCAATGTGCTAATTATTTTAATGAAATTGAGACAGCGTGTTTTTCTAATAATAGTGTATCTTTGTGCCTAAAATGAATAAAATCGGGGAAAAAATTAGCTAGCCCCCATATAACTAATTCACGATTTTAAATCATACGGCTGACCTTAATCCATAATGTATATGGTATATGTTTATATTTATATATATATGGTATATGTTTATATTTATATATTTATAAAATTGCTTGAAAATAAGTTCTCAAGTATACCTAAGCAATGTCATAATTTAATGCAATCAGCTCTTGTACTTCCATGCCCCCAACGATTTTAGTATAATTTTCGCTGACGGGTAGTAAAATATAATAATAAAACTAATGAATCTATGACCTTCAAAATAAGTTACTACCAAATTTGATTGTAATCCATTCAACATTTCGTCGAACAATGAAGTTGAACCTTTTCGCTACATTTCTTAATATAAAGTTTTGCCAACACCTAAAGCAAGTTGCAAGAGTATGAAATATTCAGTTACACACGAACTTAGCACTTTCTTACTTGTTTTACATTTTTTTTATTACTTATTCGTATCAAAGTAACTCGCTCGATTGCGGCCATAATTTTGTTGAAATTATCGTCTGATGCCTGGTATTTTCACAGCGAATCAGAACTAATATTAAGTAAATAAAAATATAGATATTGAGCGGACTTTGTACCGTAAAGTTAAGGGTTGATTGTGCTTGATTTCTTGAGAATAAACTACTGCTATCGACTATGTATGTATGTATGTATTATATTTAAAATGTATTTATAAAATAAAATGTGCATGAAGACACTACAATTTGTATTTAAAGGGTTTTTTTGTTACTCGTATAACTTTTGCCTCATATAAAGTTGAAAACTAATGAAATCCTATGTTTTATTGAGTTTTAGCAATTGAAAAAAATTCTGACTGGTTCCAACAGGTCGGTTAAAACTGCTTAATCAATGTAGACCATTGACTTGGAAAATAACCTCAAAAAGAACTATCTGACAGACCTATTTCGTAATAAAAATCGCTCAGGTTGTTACAGTGTCAATCAAGAAGAGTGATCTCTACCAAAATTTCATATGTTTAAAAAAAAACACTATGTGGAACACTTTTATAGTATAACAAGCTAGCTTCTCGGAAAAATTAGAGGTTTTCGAGACTAGTCTAATGATTAGTCCGGCTTTAGCGACGTGTATTGTTTAAACTTTAGGTAGTTCTATAATATCTTATTTATACATTTAACCTATAAAGCAATAAATAAACTACATACCTCTGAAACCATCAAGCTAAGATATTTCAATAAAGTTTCTTTACAATTTCATAAGGGGTTAGGGTTAGTTAGAATTATCAAAAAAAAAAAATGCATTTTCTTAAAGTATAATATATTAGAAACTTTCAGTGAAAATTTGCAGTATATCCAACAAATTCTTTTCGAGTTATTCGAAAATCAGCGAGGGTTTCTCGGGCGCTCTCGAATGTTCGTATAAGGCTTTTCAAAAACTGTGTTTTTTAAATTAATGGTCACTGTAGCTCGAAAACTGCTCAGTAGATTTCGTTGAAATTTACACAGCTTTTTGTAAACATGAAAAACTAGACACTATTTTTTTCTCTATTGATTTAAAATAAATGATGGTCTCCCCAAGGAGCTTCTCTTGGAACTGGATCAACACAAACATCCATTACTTTTAAAACAATAATTTTTTTTAACTCTGCAAAGCTAAGTCGAAACCTTATTTAATGATGCTTTTATTTGTTCATGTCTCTAACTATACCATAAACCAGAATATTTGTAATTATTTTCGTCATGCGATCTTAATAGTGTCAATAAAAAAGTTGCTGTTTCTCATTACGTCCGGTCTTGCAGTTTTGTGCTCGCAGTTCATATCAGTGTCCACAAACCAATCTGGTTCTCACACAGGTTTCTAAAATTCTTAATTTACAATATAAATCCGGTCATAACTTTTTTTTTTTAACAACATAAGAACGTAATATAAGAATTTATACTAAGTAGCTAAAATTAATCATATGAAAGCAACACAGTCATCTTCACATCATTTTTCTCCAAAAAAGTTTTTTAAATTATATTATAGAATATACTCTTTCGATTTTTCTCTTCAAATAACTACTCCCTTTTGATGGATTTTCTCTCAAATATTACGCTCTTACGTTCTTCCACTCTTAAATATATTTGTTTTCCTACTAAATTCGTCATGAAATGGTTGTATGGCTCGCAAATAATACAAAAACACACCGTGGACTTTGATCTTCCTACGTGTAGCTTAGTATATTCGTCCAATAAAGCGAATACCTTTACACATATAGCGAGACTTAAAAGTAAAAACACAATATGACATACCGACACACAGCATATAATGAAATAAGCAAGCAAAAGATACAAAAATAACGTACAAATATACTTACTAATTCGCATGACTATAAAAACTTACATATTGTTATTTATTTCGAATCATACATACATAGTATGCCGGCCAAAACACCCTTTTAGGAATTTTATTGGTGACTTTTTTGATGAAATGATATGTATATCCCTACCAGTCATCAAGGACATTTATAAATGCCTGACAACAATTTGACCTAATCAGTAAAAGACCCGGAGTGGTTGGCATTCTTCGAAGCGGCCTTAGGGAACGCTGTCTTCTAAAATTCAAATTCAAATTTGTTGCACGCAATTATCTCGACCTTAATATGTCTCAGTGGCAAAGTGGACTACAGCCACGCCTACTTTTCGCCATAAATGGGTAAAGTCGGATTAATGCTTCCCCTCGCCTCCAAATACCACATACTAAGATTTTCAAACATCCGGTTGACTTTATACTTCATATATATTTGTCAATTGGTGTTATCTTAATGAAATACAGAGAGCATCGTTTTCTGGTAAGGATATATCGTAATGCCAACATTGAATCGAATCGCATCAATACTCGTACTACCTGTCGCCCCATATAAGTAATATAAGAATTTCAAACTTTTGATTGGTTTTATATCGTATATATCGATCAATATGTAAGATATCTTAGCAAAATTAAACGAAAATATAGTATTGGATATACTATAGTTTAATGTTCAAAATGTGTGAAATCGGTCCGCGAATTATACCAGCACGATGTACTGTAATAAAGATTTTCGTTACTTTAAGATAAAAGTATTTACCCGCCTTTAATCTTTACAAATTGCGAGAGTATAAAATGTTCGGTTACATCCCAACTTAGGCCTTCCTTACTTGTTGTTACTTATTTCTTTGATTTTTATTATTTTTCTATTGGATCGAAATAAATTTTTGAAATAGGTATGAAGTTCCTTCTGACATACCCTATGTTTGCTTCGCTTCGATATTAATGTGTTAACTGTCAAGCAAAGCGAGTAAAGTTCTTTGTAAACCAGCTATTAATAATAAAAATGGTGACAGCTGTTTGTCAAAGTATAAAAAGATTAGAGTTGCCCAACATCGTAGTTCGCCTAGCTTTGCTTCGCCGCGAAAAATGATTAACATACAACTTTGGATTCGCTTTGTTTCGGACTTTTGCTTTGACACATACATAGTTTCGTTGTATGCTTTTCTATGAATACGTGCACACACAAAACTTTCGAGCGAAGCAAAGCAAAGCCTCGAAAAATCTTAGGCAACAGCCAATACTATCTTTATTGCTATTTATTTACCTTGTACCGCATCATAACATTAAGGTAAGTTAAATATATTGAGAATAAATAATATACACAATTAGCTTTCAAAATTATTTTAGATAACACATGGAAAAGAAATTAATTAAGGCCATTAAGTTGCACCCTTGCCTGTACGACAGAAGCTCACCTTTATTTCGAAATATGGTGTTGAAGGAGCGATCATGGAAGGCAGTGGCGATTTCAACGGGAGCCTCTGGTAAATATTTGTTATTATTTTTTTAATGCAAGTAAAATGTTTAATCTTCTTGTGCATTTCCTTCTTTCAATAGTGGAACAATGCAAGCAGCGCTGGAAGTCGCTACGTGATAGATTTGTGCGGGAGATAGCTTCCCAAAAATCGAAGTCAGGGCAGGAGGTGGAATCAGAGGAAAAGAAAGAGTGGTGTTATCTCAAATTAATGCGGTTTTTAACAAAACATGTTAACCCCAGAAAGTAAGTTACAAATATATTTATAATTCAATTTTAATTTGTTAATGATATTCAATTATTTTTGTAGAACGATATGTAATACGCAATCGTGCAACGATGACCAGCTCAGCTGTAGTACTTCGCCTGCAACAACACAGAGCAATTTTGAGTGGGTAGAATTACATCAAGAAAAAAGTGTGCTAAATGATAGCCAAACTAGCAGAGATACACCAAAACCAAAAGATGCGCCAAAACGTCAACGGCTGGACGAGGAGGCATACGAACGACTTACTCGTTTTTGTGAGACAATTGAGACGTTGTTCTCTACAAAGGAGTCCAAAAATAAGGCGTTTTTAGCTATGTTGGACGAGCTTCTGCAGAAGAAATCGGAGGAAGTGCAGGATCGGTTAAAAATGGAAATCCTAAACCATGTACATAATTCTTAAAATTTCATTTGAAATGTTTATAATACTAGGTATATATATAAATGATCAGCATGAAGCTGAGTCGATTTATCCATTTCCGTCTGTCTGTTCAACAAGCTGCGCATTTGTAGGATAAGAGGTCATACAAACTGAAATATTCAAAATCATGTCCTTGTATAGAAAACATTCTTATTTGACAATATATCTTCACCAAATTTGGCATAGATTATTGTCTATAGCAACAATACAATCTCCGAAGAAAGTTCAAGTTCATGTGAAGGATATTATAGCTTCGGTGCAACCGAAGTTAACGGGGTATTGTTAAATTTAATTTTCATTCTATAATTTTTGATCTAAGCGATTTATAAATACGTAAATATTTTTAAATTGATTCGTTTGAATAATGATTATTTTTAAACAGTAATTTAATATATGAAATATTACTACAATATATGTACATAGGTATGTATGTACATGAATTACAAAAATAACTCCACACCCATTACCGACTTTAAAGTCGCCCGAAAAAATACATTATAATAGTTTTTGTTTTGTCTGACGATTGATTGTAACGTCTAAAACTGTTCGAGAAAGATATATGTAATATATATTGAAGTAATCAGGATGTCTGTTTGAAACTTAGGACCGGTATTCCCTGACACCATAAGAGTATTGGTAGTATAGGTATGCCTGATTTTGGCGCTCGAAATTTTTTTATAATTTAGTATCTACAAGACATATATAAGTTAGATAAGGTATATTAGTTATTATTTATTTTATATATAAGAAAAAAGTGTTTGAAAATTCAAGACAATAAAATTTAAAATAAAAATGTGTGGACTAAAATTGTCTGTTTCATTAGATAGCTTAAAATGTATATATATACATGTTCAAATTTATAAATATGTTGAAATATATACATACATACAAATGTACATATATACACATAACAATGATTAAGCATGTTTATGTAATTGTATTATTCCATTGATCATCACTTGATTGAAGAATAGACGTTAGTAGAACTAAAATTTCGTGTTTTTAAGTTATATAAATGGATCTGATTTTTGTCTTAAAACATGTTCAGAAACATCAAAGCACAACCAGTTTCCACCTTTATTGAAATATTCACTCATATACGCATGTATGTACATATATGAGTACATATGTATATATGTAAGCTTGGTAGAAATTAAGAAGATAACTTTGCAGTTTATAATTTTTTCGAAGGTAAACAAGTTCTACGTGCCTATGTGTGTATGATGTGGTCAATCTACGTTCTCAGACTTCACGACTTAGCGTAAACAAAATATTCGCAAAGTTATAGCGAAGCTTTGCAGTTGTCTAGTCGGTAAACCTACTACTTTTAACTGAAAATTTTTATAAAAAGGAATACTATTGAAAATGGTTACAACAAGTGAAGCACCACCATTGGCAACATTTAATGCCCTAAATCCTAGTGCAGTCATGAATGAGAAGTTCGCAAGAAACTATTTAACGCTAGATAATCCAGTGTTTTGCTGCTTTCTTTTCTGGGCCAGTGTGATGGTGATCAAAATGCTGCTAATGTCATTGTTGACAGCACTGCAACGATTCCGCAATAAGGTATGCGGGTTGCAAATTGTTTGCTGACTGGAGGAAGTGTTGTTGTTGTGCACATAACTCTTGTTTTGGTTTTGGCCATTTATACTAAAAAATTAAATTTACGTTTGAAAAAATCGACCGAACTTTGCACAGATTTAAACCGGTCGGGTTAATTATATAAATTGTTAAGTCGCAAAACGCTAAGAATATTAAAATAATAAGAGCGTGTTCAACAGCATATAAGTTAGGCGGCAATGAATCCATGAAATCAGAACTTATTTAAAACATCACTCTAGAAGTTATCCTTAGCATTTTGCAAGCACCTTGAATTATACATCTGCTCATGCTTATGTACAAGTATATACATACATGCATACATCAAAATTTATCATAAAAATTCATTCATTACAATATCCGTAATCATTCATATCTATATAATTTTTACAGATTCTGGATTTATTTCCTCATAGCTGTCTGAGGAAGGTAAAATCATTCATATAAATTCGCCTGTAAATAAATGTAACTCATTTGGCTGGTTATGTATGTATGTATGCACAACATGCATACATGGATTGGAAATCATACCTCAAAATTCAGGCTTAATTGGCAATAGTATTGAAAATCATCTTTTGCAGACAAACATTTATCTAGCTTCACTTAAATCTATTTTTAGGTATTCCCAAATCAAGAAGACTTGTTTTTCAAGGATATTGAAGTGCAATATAATGATCCACATGTGGAGCGTGTGCGTCGGTAAGTTATATTACTATTTCGTGCCTCTCATCTCATATTTACAACTTGCCTTACGTTCTTTGACAGCGCACACCGCAATGACATGGAGAATATTCTACCATACTTCACGATGGCTCTGCTGTATATTTGCACAAACCCGAATCCAACAGTTGCCTGCATACTCTTCCGTGTTGTGACCATTGCGCGCATATTGCACACATTAGTGTATGCGTTCTATCCAGTACCTCAACCATCGCGCATTATTGCCTTTGGTGTAGCATTTGCGATCACAATTTACATGGCCTGTGCTGTGGCATTGGATATGTTGGCATATATCTAATAAATTATGTATTTTCTTTTATTTTTTGGTTGAATTTTTTTTTACAAATAAAAATTCATTTTGCCTTTTACATTATTTAATTAATTCAATTTCAAATTCTCATAATGGCAATTTCCTTACATTATTTATACAGATTACGCAATAAGACTAGTAACAAATAAAAAGTGTTTTAGCAGCGTTAAACGCATCAACTCGACTAAACTTTTGCCGAGAACCCCATGAGAATCATGCAGACTGCCAAAAAAAAAAATTAAGTAAGATGTTGTATTTGAACAAGTCGTAAACTTGGCTGTTTCGTTTATATATTGAATCCCTGCGCTCGCATACATTGTCTATGCGCCTCAATCAAATCAGTGCAGTTCTCCTCACCTCGTTCAACAATGCTAGAAAATTAATAAAGGCAATGTTAAATAACGTTCATGACAATAAAATATTTAACTAACCATGCATCGCGAACTTTCTTGGTTTCTGGACAAGCACAGCATGCCTTGCACTTAGGTTTCTCAGCCGGTTGCGCTGTTGTTCCAATGACATTTGTAGCAGCTGCTTGCGCTACTTCTTTGACTGGTGCGTTTCCCATGCTGTTAGTTCTGTAAGATGTATATTTTCATAAAACTTGTCTTGCAATTGCTATGATTTTTAATAGAACCTCTCTTTAAATATTTCACAAGCACTCAAAAAAACTTTCAGAATATTACATTTTTCTGTGAACTGGAACTTTTTTTATTGCAACAATGCAAAGTTTCCTGCAGATGTCGCAAGCTGCTGAACATATTAGGGCAAGACTATACATTCTTTTAACAAAATTGATTATATGCCATCCCAGAATATGTACAGAAATGTAAGTATACAAGTTATATACAGACAATTTTTTGTATTATTATTATTAGGTTATTAGAATAAAATAACAATTGTGAAACAAGTCAATATTTAAAGACGTTTTAACGTTAATTTAATATTTATTTATTACATATTTAATAATGGTTGAAAACGTACTTTGGCGAAACTCACATAATATTAATATAGATAATATCATTTGTTAAAAAATACTGAGCTGATAGTCTTTCCTCGGTAGGCCTGAGCTTTTTATTTTCCATGGCCTCTCATAATTTGTTAATTAATAACTCATATTTTATGCAAAATTTCTCCAAAACCTTTCTGAAATGTAGCAGAAAAAGAAAATTAATGTATAGATGGAGGCATAAACCCAAGATATGCCATGCAGTTTTATCAATCAATCAAAAAATATTTAAAACTTCTACCGTCAAATTACAAATTTGGCGCAAAATTCTAAAATTGTCAGTAAAAAAACATTTGAAAATAAATATTTAAAAATATAATATACAGCTCATATTTACTTAATGGCCAAACCTACCACCATCAAGGATGCACTACGCATTTGGGAAGAAAAAAATGGCAAAGATCCCATTACAGTGACAGACATTGGTTTACAATTTCAATATCCACCAATTGAAAAAATGGATAGCACACTTAATACGCTCGTTAACTGTAGGAAACTTAGTCTGTCTTCCAATATGATTGAAAAAATAACGGGTATCAATCAACTTAAAAATCTCCGTATTCTTTCATTGGCAAGAAACAATTTGAAAAGTATCAATGGCATTGTAAGTTATTAGTCAAAACTATATTTAACCCAGCACATCTTATATTGTAAGACATTTTCTTTTCATACTGACAGGAGGCACTTGGAGAAACATTGGAAGAGTTATGGGTCAGTTACAATATTATTGAGAAAATTAAACCAATTGAATCCATGAAAGTATTGCGCGTATTTTATGTATCGCATAATCTTATTAAGGATTGGGTAGAGTTCAATCGTATGGCATTGGCGCCAAAACTGGAGGAAATTTCATTTCTTGGCAATATACTCAACGAGAATATGGATGAATTGGTTTTTAAAAATGAAGCCATACGTCGTTTGCCGCTATTAAAAAAACTTGATGGTGAACCGGTTATAAGAGGCGATTAATTAACCCAATATAAATATATATATTAATACAAACCTGTAAATGGCAACATTTGGTGTAAAAAAAACTACATTTTGTTTCAATACATTTATTTAAGCCAATTCCATGGTTTCCGTATTAGAAATGCTAATTGTAGCAGGAGGTGCATTAACAGTATTATCCTCATTGCTATTTGTGGTGTTTGCGCTTTTCAGACGCTGCAGCATTTTATACGAAACAAGATCTAGTTTCAAATGTTGAACATTGAGCGCACTACCATCCCAATCCATTAGCGATTTAAATTTTACAGGATCGCAGAGGTTTAGTAGCTCTGTGGTATAGAAAATCATATACATCTTGCACTAATGATTAACAATATTATATATTTAGTTTTGTGAAATTACCCATGCCTCCACTTTGGTACTCATTTCGCTCTCTTTCCAAAGTAATTTTGATAACATCCTCCCGAGCTGCGTGCTGTTTAGAGCGGTTCTTGCTAATTGATTGTTTAAGCGCAATTTGTGCGAGTTCTTCATCAAAACGCTTGAGGTACAAAGCTACGAACTCTTCAAATTCCTGTGGTGTTAGTGGCTTTGTCCTGTCCTCATCGATTTTTCCCAAAAACCAATTTAATTTCTCGCCCATTATGTTACTTTTAATTGCATGACCCATTCGCGCTTTGTGTTTGTTATTCTGACGCCGTGCCTTCTTGCTTAAAGCTTTTGTTTTCCGACTATTTGGATGTTTACATTTTTCTAGTTCTTTTCGTAGGTTAGTCTACAAAGATATTATTCTTGTAGATTTATGCATTTTATTATAAACAGTAAAAAATACTTACCATTTTTTCAGTCACACGTGCGGATATATTTATTTTTATTTATGTTTAGAACTGATGTGTCATTTCGTTAACTGTAATAGAAGAATGTTGTTGTGTAGCAGCAAAAACATTCCTGAAGTAATTTTAAAGAATGCTGCCGAGTAATAGATGACTCATGGTAGAAGATTATTTTATTCTATAGAATTTACCAACGTTATTAAACCAGAAGAATTTCAATTATATGCTCTGATTAAACAATCCTAATATCTATGATCAAGAGGTATATTATAAAAAGTACGAAGGCATGATATATACTCTTTGAAAGATGTTATGATTTATACTTGTATATAATAGAAATAAGTCAAATCATAACAACTTTTTAAGAATTTCATTAAAATTTTTGAAAATCGGTAGTGCAGACTAGTCATAAATTCCTTGCAGAAAAAAATGTGACAGCATTGAGGATCGAAGATCTTGACAGTTTGCGCATGAAAAGTAACAAAAAACAAACTTGACATATGCTGATAAGAACTTGTTGAACGGTTGTTTTTAGATATAAAGTTGTTTTATTTTCCTGTTTTGTTGCGCACGTTTTTCTCAAGACTATTAGTTTTAAGTGAATGTAAATAATCTGTTCCTTTATTCTGTGGGTGCTTTACAACTTGTTAATTTTATTTTAAATATGTCTTCCATATTCTTGAGAAATCATGGCGCGACAATGCTGAAGAATTGCTTATCGCATACGTTTAGAGTTCGTGTAAAAGTACGTGTAAATAAAAACCCTGTGAAAATTAAGTTTAATTAATGTTAAAAATTATTTTTCTCTGAACAACTGGATTTAAAATTCGTTCAGTCAGTAATCTTTTCGATGGAAAATTTATTTCCAAATTGGCTACAATATTACATAACTCAGAATCATATATTTTCTACAAACATACTTATGTACATGTATATACGGCCCATTTAAAAATTTGCCATTGTTACTAAAAATACTTTGTACCTTATTCAAAAATTCAGCAATATTCAATAGTTTTGTGGATACTTATTGCTTAAACTATTATTTTAAAAGATCGGATACGTTCTATAAATTTAATTTTAAATTTGGTTATTAATAATAATCTAAATATATGTTGGGTAAGCATGCCGGTGATTGGACACTACTCAGGTTTTACATTTAAACTAAGAAAACCGTTAAACGTATAACAAGCATTATATTCTGATAATTGCGTTGCCGACTTTATTAAATAAATTTTAGTTTGTGTACGTATCGCGAAGCAGGGATAATCTCTGTCGCAAAGTGTGATAAAGTTATTTTTTTTGCTAGTGACAGATATTTGCAAGTAAGAATTATAAATTATTGTGCGTAAAAGCATGTTAGTAAATGTTTAGTTTTGATCAAAAATTATCTAAAAAGAAATTGTGATAAAAATCTTGTTAAAAAAACGAAATTTTATTGATAAATTAAACTGTCAGGTTAATGAATTTAAATTATGTTAAATATATTATATACGTTTTATTTTAATACTTAAACACTTTTTAAAATGAGTAATGAACAAAGTGGCACAACAAGTGGCTTTGAAGAAGGCGTTAGCAGACTTCCGAAATAATACGTTAAACCTCCGAAAAGCATCCAATATATATAGACTTCCACCATTCAAGATCGCTTCAACGGAAAAGTGTCTGAGTTTTCCCTCAGATGGGGTCCCCAATCACACTTGACAAAGGAAGAAGAAGACATCATTGTTTCCAGGATATTAAAATTGTGTAAATGTGGGATTCCTATTAAAACGATCAATCTTCAGAACACGATCAAGAAAATAACTTTTTGTTGTTGTTGTAGTAAGGTTCAGGTTGATTGTCATCGAAGTCAAACGGTAGGACCAGAAAACGTGCTGTTTTGACGAGGTCGGATCGTAGGTAGAGAGGTGTTAGAGAAGTGCGGTGCGGTTTGGTATGCAGTCCAAAAAATAATCAAAGACAGTTTTACAAAAACTCATTTTAAAGATGGAACGCCGGGAAAGAAGTGGTTTACGCTATTCTTAAAACGTAATAGATGTCCGGTTACTAGAAAAAGTGTCCGGTTACTGGAGAAATTCGCCTTATTTAAAAAACACAATTATAAAATTAGCTTTGTTTATAAAAACTGATATATTTGGCCGTCTTTAAAATAGTCCATCGTCCCGAATTGCTATCAAATGATCACATCATTGAATGTCTGTTATATACTGGTGTATAAAGCAGAAAATAAGCAACTTTCCATTCACTGGCACATTTACCCAATATACTTGAGTGGTTGTGTGTCCATTGTCTATTCATTACTTGCTTTTGGTTTATTGTTTAAGTTTAGGGCTTAATACTGGCATCAGTTTTTGATTGTTGTTGTTTAATTAATAATAAATTTGATATTTTTGAAAAGCCCGAGAGTGCAACTCTAATTCGCTGTTTGCACCTGTCTCCATGCATGGAAAAAATAGTGTCATTTAAGCTAAGTGATATCGGCGAAGGCATACGGGAAGTTACTGTAAAAGAATGGTAACTAAATTCATACTCATTACTTTATTTTTTAATTGCAATAACAATTACTTGCAGGTTTGTGAAAGTCGGCGACACCGTGGAGCAGTTCGATGACCTCTGCGAAGTGCAATCGGATAAGGCTTCTGTAACAATCACTAGTCGTTACGATGGCAAAATCGTGAAAATCCACCATCCAATTGATGATATTGCTTTGGTCGGCAAACCGCTATTGGATTTTGATGTGGAAGAAGATGATGCTGACAATTCCGACTCGGAGTCTGGCTCAGATTCAGAAGCGGAATCCAGCTCAAGCGGGCAAACAAGTAGCGGAAAAGTTGCAAGCGATCAGGATGTAGTTCGTAATATAACTCTTGCAACGCCGGCAGTGCGTCGCTTGGCTATGGAAAATAAAGTAGATCTCTCCAAAGTGCCGGCTACAGGAAAATTGGGACGGGTGCTAAAAGGTGATGTACTCGAGTACCTGGGACAAGTACCTGCTGGCACTAATATACCACATCCGACAATTGCGGCAAAATCAGAGTTATCATGTGCGCTAAAAGAAGCTCAAAAGTTCGCTCCATTTGCTGCTGATCGCATTGAACCACTGAAAGGTGTACGCAAAGCGATGATGAAATCCATGTCGGAATCTTTGGTATTTGTTTTGATTGAATCAGTATGGGATATAAGTCGTCTAACCAATTATAAAATTTCAGAAAATCCCACATTTTGCTTATAGCGATGAGGTAGACATGACCAAGCTCATTGATTTCCGTGACCAATTGAAGACAGTAGCTAGTGAACGTGGCATTCCAAAGCTCACATTCATGCCCTTCTGTATCAAAGCTGCGTCTATTGCACTTACCAAGTATCATATTTTGAATAGTTCACTCGATGTTGAAAAGGAATCAGTGATATACAAAGCTGCGCACAATGTCAGTGTTGCCATAGACACGCCACAGGGCTTGATAGTGCCAAATATTAAGAACTGCGAGGCTAAGAATATACTGGATATTGCCAAGGATTTGAATGAGCTGGTCGAAAGTGGTCGCAAAGGTGCATTAACCCCTCGAGACTTTGCTGATGGTACTTTTTCACTTTCCAACATTGGTGTGGTGAGTTGAAAATTGTGGTATAAGTAATTAAATATATAATTAATACATTTATATATATAGGTTGGTGGTACTTATACTCATCCCTGTATTATGGCACCACAAGTGGCCATCGGCGCTATGGGACGGACAAGGGTGAAATAAAATTAAATGTATACTTAAGCACAATCCGATAATTGATTTTTTATTTTTCATAAAGGCTGTGCCCCGTTTTAATGAAAATGACGAAATCGTTAAAGCTTATATCATGAATGTCAGTTGGTGTGCAGATCATCGTCTTATTGATGGCGTCACAATGGCTCAATTTTCTAACGTGTGGAAACAATATCTGGAGAACCCAGCGTTATTTTTGCTTAACTAAGTTTTATGAACTGTTGGGCAAGTCTAAGAATTTCTGTACGAGTCTAAGAACATCTTGTCCGATTTTAGAACTTCATAAAAAGTTGTGGAAGTGCAATTTCAACACGAAAGGCTGTTTGCTGCATTTATTTACATAATACGTTTTTTATTTTTTCAATTGTTTATCGCCGCAGCTTTGTACCATATACAGTGCATTTAACAGAGTTTTAAACCCAAAATTCAACGATACATTCTGTGGGTGCTTAAAATATTGTTTGAATATATTTTATATGAAACTGGTTTGTGTTTAAAGTAAATTATTGATTATAATTCTATTATAAGTAACTATGTACATATATGTGTATGTATGTACATATGTAAAATGTTTAATAAAGTGTACGTAAAATTTTAAATAAAGCAAAAAACACTAAGTTTCACTTAACACCATAAGGCTGATAGGCTGTGGACTAATCCTGAAATATCCCTGCGAGAGAGCAATTTTAGGTCAGCACATTGGAAGGCTTCTTACTGTTCCATTCAGGGTACGGAAATATGCCGCTCCAAAAACCAAGAAATTCTTAAATTGTCAGAATACTGCGTCTCGAATCATTACAGGATGGCCAACTTCATACAGGCATTAAACGCCATTAATGTCCTAGGAGTCGAAGCACTCCCTATCGCTTACTGTGAATTCGAGTTGCCGCGTGAAACCAGAGTGACCGTCACGCAACTTCGTTCTGGATATTATAATTGATTAAACTCCTACCTCTCCAGAATAGTACTTGACATACTAAACATTTGTTCTGCTTGAAAAGAGTCCCCGGATGATATTAACCGTCTCTTTGTATGCTCCAGCAAGCTCACTCTCTTAACACCCCTTTCCCAATCGTCCGACTCTGTTGAAACAACTCGTTTCTTGATATAATACCAAAGTTTGGTGACATTTCACCAGTTCGTTATTGATCTATAGCTGACGTTATTTCGTGCTTTGATGAAACATTGGTGGGAAAAACACCGTTGATGCAAGACAATGGTTATCAATAGAAAATCTGCATAATCAATAATCAAGTACACACTCCACCTTGTTCAGGAAGGTCAAAACAGACAGTAACAAGAGAAAATCTCGCAAAAACAAGTTATTACAAATTAAAAAGATCTGCGAGCTTGCATAAATAACTGATAAATTGAAGAAATTACCCAATGAACTAGTCCTCCACCCACCTTACTAGGCGCCTCAGCGACTATCTCTTTTTTTCTAGACTCTAAAAGTAAAATATTGTACACTCAAATTAGGAGATCAAGATGCAAAACACGCATATCTTGAAGCCTTCGAAGGTTCACACTATCAAACCGATATAAAAATGTTGGTGGACTGTTACAACAAATGCTCTACCAGGAGATTATTTCAAAGAATAAAGCCATATTTTTACATAAAAAGACTTTCCTTCATTGTTAGGCCCAATATTTTTCCGCCCAGTGGTGGATACACAGAGAGGTTTTTGGGTTTGAACCTATTCACCCACCCCCCTCGAAAGTAACTCACCGGGAATACATCAAGTGCATTTTCGATATTTCGACCGTAGATTCGTTTTCTCCACATTCTGACTTCAGAAATGACAAATGAACGATTGAAGATTTTCTCATACAATTTTTGGAGTTTTACGCAATTTTTCTTATCCAAATAATATCAGATAAATATGACTATTAGTTCATATTTTCATCAACATCTACTGTTAAAAAATTATCTTTCAAATAATAGTAATATGTAGAGATGTTAGGAGAAAGCTTCATAGGCGCCGCTCTCAAAATTGGATGATAGGCGTGGCACCGACCACATTTTGTGGAAAAACCCATTTCTCAAGATCTGACCGACCGGCTTCAACTAAATTCGGCAGGTAACATTATATTGACATTTCTATATTACAGTATGAAAATGGGTCAAATCGGACTACAACTACGTCTACTTCACATATACCACAATTTTAAATCCCATATGATTTTTTCACTTTCCAATATACAAATCAAGAAGAAATAAATATAACGGGATGAAATACACGAGTAGTGCTTTTGAAGTGTGCCATTTTATGACAAAAAATTGTCCAAATCGAAAAAATAGAAAGTGGGGTCCACATAAGTACCGAATATGTGGACCTCACTTTCTATTGAGAACTTTTTATCGAGTCAATCGGTCAATGTGTAATAGAAATTTGGAGAGAATCCTTTCCTAATAATAGTATGCCTGTATGTTGAAAATGGATTGAATAGGTTCAATAATTCACTTAGTCCCCATATACCTAATTCTCTAATAATAATGTATCTTTGGGTGAAAACTTGTCCCAGTCCCCATATGGGAGTTATATAACTAATGTCAAAATTATCAAACATCTAGTTGACTTTACTTCTTATGGATTGGTGATTGTATATGAGGTACCTTAATGAATGTAAGTTAATAAGATACAAATTTGATTGTAATCCATTCATGATTTTGTAGAATAATGAATGTTGAATTCTTTCGCAACATTTAATATAAAGTTTTCCCAACACCTAAAGGTATTTATCCGGCTTTGATACTTGCAAGTTGCATGAGTATAAAATGTTCGGTCCCGAACTTAGCCCTTCCTTACTTGTTAATAATAGCAAACAATATTTCTTGCACACTCTTTGCTTTTATTTTTTTCATTGGCTTTCAGAAAGAGTTTTTTTTTTATTTTTTTAAATTTATACTTATTAAAATGTTTACAAAATACGAATTTAATTCCAAATCTTAATGAACAATAATTTTTTGTTCATTTTTATCCTTGGTTTTTTATTTTTTACAAATAAAATTATAAATTTTGGATTCGGGGACAATTTCTCTCAAGCTCTCAAAGAGGCCGGTACTCTGCAACAATTTCTCCAAGAATTCACTACAATTATCACCGGGCCCCAGTTTTCTCTCTGGCGCTGGATATGCTGTAACGAACCCTAAGGGTTGGGTTGAAAATAACAGCAATTATGCATTTATAGTTGGGCGTGCTGTGTCCCATATTATGTCGGCATAAGCGCTCAGCAGAGTCAGTTATTCGAGCAAACGTGGATCGGCTTCGCACCAAGTTTACTCTAGTGGATAATGCGCATCCTTAGAGACGCCGTCCAGTGCGCACCGAATACGCTATTGGATCTTGGTTTGTGGGCTTACAAAGTACAACTTGTGCAAGAATTGAAGCCGTACGACCATCAAGAGCGTCGCACGTTCGGTGAATGAGCCCAAAACGAGATAAGAGAAAATTTTGTTCAGCGTTGAAACTCACTTTTGGTTGAATGGGTACCCAATAAACAAAATTTTTGTATTTGGAGTGATGATAATTCGCAAGCCATTGTTCAGACGCCGTTACTTCCTCAAAAAGTCTCTGTTTTCGTTTGCCCTATGGACGGAGGGAACCATTGGTACATATTTCTCTTACAGTCCATGGGGAACGCTGCCTGATCCGGAGGATGTTGATGGGGATTTCAAACAGACTGCGCAATTTGCCATACCGGCAACGAAACAATTAATAGATTGACATCTTGGAAGATAGAGTTATTGCTGGCCGAAATCATTTTTAAAACATAATTGCAAGCCCTTATCTTTATAATATAGTTAAATTTTGGGTCATAACAATTAACTAAATGTTTTTTTATTTCTTCTTGAAAACGACATATCTAACAAGACACCCTTTGGTAAAGTGATAGGAATAGAGGTTACGACAGTTTAGTTCCATTAATTTCTTTCGAGTGCTTTTGATAGAAGAATAGAGTAGTAGTGACGTCAATATTAAAAAATAAAAATAGAGGCATTGTTTACAATTACCATGTAAATATGACAGTTCAGTAAAGTTGTGACGTAGCGTGTCGTAATTTTTCTATGTGACCACCGCTGCTTAGAGAAATGTGTATGAAATATTATATTGTACAAATATTTTTTAGTAACTATTTTAAAAATTGGAGGTCTTATGCTAGCTAGTGGAAATTAACTTTACTTTTTAATTTTTCTATGTGACCACCGCTGCTTAGAGAAATGTGTATGAAGTATTATATTGTACAAATATTTTTTAGTAACTATTTTAAAAATTGGAGGTCTTATGCTAGCTAGTGGAAATTAACTTTACTTTTTAAATTTACCTGGAAACTTCTCATATTATATATTTAGACATCTCCAGTTATTTTTAAACTCTTTGTATGCGTTATTAGTTACTAGCTGTCACAATAACCGTTAGCATTAATTATTTACATATACTATAACGGTGCTGTCAATTGGAAAGCTCCAATGTTATCATAACACCATTACCGGCGTAATTGGCGTCTGCGCTGACACGTCAAATGCACGTGTTGTGCTCCAATCAGCCGTACAATGTTTGTAAACAAGTAATTGCCGTTGTTGAGCAATACCAAAACAAGTCCTGCGCAGACGACGCCAGGAGACGGCAACAAGTTGTTGGAAATTTTCCAATTCCAGGAATTTCGCAGAAACTCAACACAACCTTTGGAGCTTTCAACACAGTCTCAAGGCTTTATAAGCTACGAGCATTTTCGTGGACTTGAAATTTTATCAGTTGCTGTGCAGACCTGCAGTTGTAAAGACATCTAAACGGAAAAACCAAAGTGTGGAAAATTGTTTGTATATACACCAATACATACATATTTATATATACCAAAAATGCATAGTAGGTTAATGCTGAAGTTCAAAGAGACTGAAAAGTATATGTTGCAAGTAATTTAAAGGTCCTGAAAAGTAATAAAGCCTTGGAGGAAAAGTGTATAAATTCGTAGAGCAAAAATCTTAAAAAAGAGAAAATTACATATGTATGTGTTAAATTTTTCGAGTAATTAAAAGCATAGTCATAATTATGTCGTGTTTGTGAGTTTCCAAGTAAGTGAAAGTAGTTTTTCATAAAAAGAATTGTGGCAGAACGTTGAAAATGTTACGATATTGGCTTGAATTCTCTGTGGAACACGAAAACTCGCTTAAACATATAAAATCTAATAGGTAAGTGCCAATATATAAGATTTCAAAATATTTCCACAAACCACTAAGTAGATTAGAAAATTTTCACAAAATTTGTCTGCTGTTAAAGCGTAAAAAAGTTGGAGAAAATACGCCAAATGATAGTGAAAAAAATTTGTATGTATACTCAGGCAATTTCGTCGTCTGCTTTAACGATTTTTCCAATGACCTTGTTGCGTATCAACGCGCAACGCGCACATCGCACCGCACAGCGCCCAGCCGACATTGCGATATATCGACCAATATTCTAACCAAACGCTGGGCCATACGGATCCCATACGCATGTGTTCATAGGTACATATTTATATATTGCGTTTGTGTTTAACTTTCGCATATATAAGTATGTATGTGCGCAGAAATATTTTGTAACGGATTCATGGTGAAGTACGGAAAGACCGATATACCAAACATTTTAGGTCAAAGCTGATATTTTTCAATTGTGACAACACGAGCATTTTGTAAAGTTTGAATTTTATTTGCAAATTCTCAAATTTAGAATTGCGATTCATTTCTATATTCGCGGTGAAGTTTGAGTTTTTTTAATTGAGGAAAAATTATTATTAAATCAGCCGATAACACTCCTAAGAAGTTAAGTTATTACTCACATAGAGGGATAGATATTTTTTTTTCATGGAAAGCGTTGCTGATAAGAGTGGCGAACCGAGTATATTCAGCCATGTACGTTGAGATACCGATTAGATACAGATAAGCTGTTATTTGTCGGAGTCGGCGATATCGGACCGCTATAGCATATAGCTGCCATACAACCTGAACAATCGGAATCAAGTGCTTGTATGGGAAAATTATTTATTTTATGAGATTCACGAAATTTGGATTATTTTCCAAAGCAATGGTACAGTAACCGAAAAAATTCTGCAGATCGGAACACTATAGCATATATGTAGTATATGTAGCTGCCTTATAAACAAACTTTCATTCTGATTAACAACAACAATGTTTTAATAGATATAATAAATGCGATCAATTATAATCAATTAATTATTATATAAATACAAATATGTAATTAATTAAGGATTCAGGAAATTTAATTTAATTATTATATGTTAATGTTTATTTAAATTAATAAAGAAATAATGTATATACATATATAATTAATTAATTATAATTTGCATTTATGTATATAATTAATTTCTAGTTAAATAAAATTACAATAATTATATTGACTATTATGCAAATACTTTAATCTTTGAGTTAAATTATACAAATACAAATTTTACTTAGTTATTTATATATATAATTGATTTTGTATTTAATGTGCTTTAAAGGAGAGTAAGTTGAGAGCATAAATTAACAATCAATTTGGGTACCGGTTTTTTACTGCAAAACTTTTTGGCCAGAAACTGTTTTTCAGCAAGAGAAAGGGCTACTAATTTTAATTTCTGAAAAAACAATGGAATCGCATATATTTTTGATGTTCCCAATCTCTATAAATAATAATTCGGCGAAATATTTTTTTTCTATTTTTTCAACATTTCTAATTCAAAAATTTATATCTTTGAAACGAAAAAGAACACACCTCTGAAAATTTCAGAATTTCTTTAGATATGTTAGAGGTATAATATAAAAACTTTTAAGGCCAAAATTTTCCCGGGACGGGTACTTTTTACAATTTTGAAAAATTGAAAAATTTTTAATTTAGGTAATTTTCAAAATTTTTTTTCAAACATTTTTTTTTCTTATACCTCTTAGTGTCCTCTATGAACGCACCAGCGTTTTTTTTCATAATATACAATAGCTTCTGAAATATTGAATAAATAAACTCATAAAATCGGAAAAACAGTGAAAATTTTAATTTTGAATAACTCTTAGGAAAAGTTTTTTTCTTTGGCAGAACTTCGTTCTATGATGAGACAAAACTTTCTGCCAAAATTCATCCAAATCGGTGGGGGTCGCGTCCAACTATTTGCCGATTTGACATGGAATGACCCATTTACTTTTAACTATAAAAAATAATTTTCACTTCCGACACTATTTTCTGGTTTTTACTGCCTTGAGAAAGCACATAACTCTTATTATATAAATGGGAGATTTTTTATTGAAATGGAATTACTTAGCGTTTTAAAAGTTAAACCGTTTGGGACCACGTAAGAATCTTCATTTTACATACTTGTATGTATGTAATTATTCAACCCGTTGAAAGAGCTCGAGCAAACGACTTGTGAATTAGAACTAGAAAGCCAACAAAGGATTTGAAAAATTGCCACAACAGCTTAATATAATTGTGTTCCATAAATTATTGATTAAACTAAAAGAATATTAAGTAATTTATTTTTGCTATATTTTTGTATATTAGGTCTATAACTATGTTTGTGCGTTTTGTATAAATTAGAACGTTGGTTTAAGAAAACAATGTGCAATAGTATTATTCAAAGCATTATCCATCTGAAGGTATACACTATTTCCATCTCTCTGTCGATTTGTGGATTCCATCTCAAAAGAATTGCGCCAGCCTTGCGACCAAGAATGAATCAAACCAATTTTTAATATCCTGTACTGATGTCAACCGTATTCCAGCGAGAGCGTTCTGCCTCGAACGAACCAACTGGTATTAAGAAGGGGCAAGATCTGAGCTTTGAAGTGAGGCATAACTTCACAGCTGCTGTTTTCCCAATAAGTTTTGAACTGGTCTTGCAATATAAGGCCGAGCGTTGTTAAGATGGAAAATTATTTCCTCGTGTCTAGTCCCGAATTGTGGGCTTTTTGCGGCAATCGTTCACTTCAATTTGATGAGTGGTTGTCGGTAGCTTTTTCCATTAATGCTTTCACTTGGTTTTAGAACCTTGTAATAAAATAGGTCCTTCTTATCCCATCAAATACAGAGCCACACCTTGGGGTCATGGATATTCCGTTTTGTTGTTGATTTGCCTGGTTCGACAGGTTTCACGTATGATTTGTTGTGTTTAGGGTTATCGTAATGGATACAATATTCATCATCAGACAGAGATCGATGCAAAAACGAATTTTTTTTTAGCGTTTAAGCAGCGTTTTTGACATGCAAAGTCATCTTTGAACGTCTCTCGGCTTTAATTCCTATGGCACCTTTAATCGTGCAAACCACTTTTTGTATATTCGCTTTGCTAGAGATTGTTCACCATAAACTTACACCTAAATATAGTAGCTTTCGACGGAGGTTTTCTTCATATTAAAGTAATAAAGAAGAAGAACCCCCCGCAAAAACACTTTTTCAGGCACAAAGTTTGACATATGTATGTACATATTTGAATGAAAAAAAATTTATTGTTGTTTACGCTTCAAAGGAATGACATTCATTTCGCAAGGACTGTCTCTCCAACACATGTTCGAAATACTGGAACAATGGAATAATAATCAAGTTACGCCATCCCTTGGCGAACCGCACATATGTACATATATAGTTATAAATCCAATATACATACATATTTTTTGGAAACAACTCACTGTAAGGATCGCTCTGTATACGGTATATTTAACATATCTCTCTTAAGCGAAGTTTTCTTTCAGATGAATTTTAATTTAATATTGATACGGAGCAGTTTGAGGATATCCACTAGCCCACAAATATACCTATACTCACACATGCACTGTCACATATGTAAATTTGTATGTATGTATATATAAGTGAAATGTAATAAATGAAGTAATTTGCATATTGCAATGACGTTGCGCATTGATTTTCCCCAACTGCTGATAAAGTGAAATTTCACTCCAGTGACGCAACACCCAAATGAGCAATAATTTAATGCAACAACAAGAATAACCAACAAATGTGTCAGAGAAAAACAATGGAAGTGAAGAAAAAGATAAATATGATACTCAGGGGACTGTGAAAATGCTAAAGAAATTGCAATTGCATTTTTTCAACGAATGCTGTGAGTCACATTGTCTCACCCACATACATTCATACATACATACATACATACATACATATACAGATGATTAGGGTTTTTCTATTGCACGTCGGTCGGTAGATTACTTACAAGTAGTAGAGAAATTTCCAAGTAGTATATTAAACGCCTTAGGGGTGCGCTTATATTAACTACTACCGAGTAACTTTTCAAGGTTAGGTTAGGCTACAGGTTGAGTAATGGCTGATGGCCCAAAGGAGGGTCACCTTTTGGTATTTAAAGTTACTTTCATATATATGTACGAATATATCGACGAAACCAGTATAGCAGTATAGCGGTTGTATGTATAGCTAATGAAGTGGAAACCCATGAGATTTAAGGAGATAGTCAAGAGAGAACTTTTGAGAAGATTCTACTTCGCTATCTCTCAAACAATGTCGGTAAGGGGCATCAGGCAAAAGTAGCTGGGGTGAGATTTTCTTTGTGGAGCAATAAGCTTATTCGATCTGCTGCAATTCACCCCGAACAAAAATGTCTCCCAACCACGTAAATACTGGCGAATGTCAAATGGTCGCTGAACTTATGTGATGTCCTGTATTTAAATAGTAACTTGCAAGAGAAGAAGGTTCCATCTGTCCGAGTTCGGTAATATTAAAATCAACACAGATACTGATCTATAGAACTATTTCTATAAAAATGAAACACGTTATAACGTTATGAATTTAAGAATCGCTCTATTGTATGATTCTATTAAAACTGCTATCAAGATATCAACTATTGTTAGCGAAAAATACATGAGTAACCTAACTAATATTAAATATATATGTAAATATATATGTAAATGTATAATCGATAGCATCAGAAAAGTTTTTGGTTTATTTGTATATCCCGAACAGGGTTTATAAGTTTGTAACACCCAAAAGGAAACGTGGAAGACACTATAAAGTATGTAGTAAATATAAATATACGAGTATATAATGATCAGCGTGATTAGCTGAGTCGATTTAGCCATATCCGTTTGACTTACCGTCTGTATATACGCGAACTAGTTCCTTAGTTTTTGAGATATCGATCCCACGTTCTTTTCTCCTTAAGAAGCTGCTTATTTGTCGGAACCGCCGATATCAGACAGCTTTA